GGAACTTCGGGCAATTCGACTTCGGGAACACCATCCTCGGGGCCGCCCCCGCCCTGCATTGGCGCCCTCGCGCTGACTCCCATTCAGATGTGGACGCCCAACTTGGGCGCCGCCGCATTCCGCCCACGGATGCCCTTGAAAGCCTTGAACCATTTGTAATTCACGTAGGAGAGATCACCGACCGAAAACGCTTCTGCCTCGGCCACGGGCCCGACCAACTCGTCGCCCGCAGGTTGCGCCTCTGGGTGCTCTGGCTGGGGCTCTGGCTGGGGCCTGGCGTCGGGGCCAGGCGGTGGCAGTGGCGGAGCTTCTGCCCCCATGTCCAAGGGCGCCGGGGCCGAGTCCGAGTCCCAGCGACGCGAGTTGCCCATGGCCTTGCTGATCGCTGCGTCGAAGCACTCGAGCGCGGCATCCCGGGCGGACTCAAGCACTGGAGCAAGATCTCGCCATTTGAAAGGGTTGGCACCGTAGTCGAAGCCACTGCGCACGCGCTTTGAAGCGCAGGATCTGGCCGACAGCAGCGGCAGGTCAATGCGGGGGGCGGCTCGAGTGGCAGCCTGCGGGCGGTGCGGGCGGGGCGGGGCGGGACAGAAACAACCGTCGACGTGATTTTATGTTTCCAACCCCCTCCTCTTTCACTGCTTCACTTCCTCGCCGCCTCTCCTCCCTCCTCCTCATCCTCCTCATCTTCCTCCTCCTCCTCCTCCTCCCCCCCTCCTCCATCCTTCCTCAATTCCTCGCCCCACCCCGCCCCCCCTTTCCTCTCCCACTGGAGGGGGGGGGGAAGGGGGGGGATGGGGAGGGAAAACAGCGCCGCAGCCTTGATGATATTGTTGAACCCCTCGATCTCCTGGGTATCGCACTGCCACTGCTTGGCCACGGTGGACAGCAACTCATGTAGATCGTCGGGCACCGCCCCTCCAGAGGAAACGACTCGTCGAACGCTAGCGCCGAAGAGTTCCCTGATCTTGGCCGAGCTCACGTCCAAGTCGCTTGAGTCCAACAGCTGCTGGGCCACCTCAACTCGCTTGCCTGGGAGCGACTTCGGATTTACCAAATGCAAGAGTTTGCGTGGAAACTGCGCTAGCTTGCCTACCACTCTGAAGTCGAAATCGGCAGCGTCAGCCAGCACCAGATTTGCGAAGGCGGCCCTGCGCTGACTCTCAGCAGCCGCCATGTCAATCCTGTCGAGCTTGTCATGCACCTCGATGTCGTGGAATGACAATGTCATCATGTTGCTGAAGTCCGCTGCGATTTTGCCCGCGCCCTCCCAGACGAGATGGGCTGAGGCGCCGTGCCCCGCCCCATGGACCTGCTTCGGGCGCGACTGGAGGGAGTTGCTGAAATGGTCGAGCGGGGACACGGCCAGGCGCGACATCTGAGGCACTCCCAGGAATGGCCCATCCACGAGCGCGGCCATCGCGTCTCTGCACCAGCGAGACATAGTTGCACCATACATGGCGGAGTCCGCTGCGCCCACCGACTCCATCTCCATGATGAGTTGCAAAGCCGCTCCCATGTCATCTACTTCGCCCGCCTTCGTGGCCGCGGCGACTCTGGCGAACGCCGCCCGGGCCTTCTTGTCGAAGACCGCGAGGCACGTCTCCACGAAATGCTTCCAGCAAGAATCTCCGTCATCCAAGATGGCCCCCAGTCTTTCCTCGCAGGCTGACTTTGCGCCCCACCGCCCCTCGATGCATCTGGGAGGCATCTTCATAGCGTGCTTGGCTGCCTCGACGACCAGCTGGTCGTATTTGCCCTTCGTGCCGCGCTTCCATTGGGTGAAAATGAGCTTCGCGTGTTCCCCCCAGCAGTTCATGATTTTCTGCAAACAGGGGCAGTACTTCACTGAGGACCCAAGGTGGCCCATGACAGCTTGACCCGTCTTCAGCATAGCCTTGTGTATCAAAGCGCACTGATGGAGAAAACAGTCAAGGTCGATGGAAAAGGACGCCGGGTTCATGCCTCACCTCCCCCATGATCATTCGTCGGACTTTACTGATGTCGCCACCGGCGTCGGTGCAGAAGAGGAACAGCCGGGCGACAGATGGGATCGACTTTGTTGACCACAGCGGACACCCACATGATTCCATTTGTTTTGCAAGAATTTTCTCGAGGTTGGTCGGCACGGAATCTAGCAACACCTGAAGATCTTCATAGCGCTTCTCGGATGCACTTCTCCAGGCGCCAGATGAATGTTTCCATGTGTATGTCGTCGATACTTCTGCAGAATGCATCTTGGACCTTTGCCACACGTTGCCGTTGGCGGCGTCGGCCCTGACGACGTGGAAAGCCATGGCGACCGGGCCATCTAGATCATCCCGTGCAGCTTCACCCAAACGCTGAAGATCAAGCTCGCGCTCGCCATGGAAGTCCATGAAACTCTTCATCAGGCACGCGCCCGCAATGATCTCCCACCTGGGCCCCAGAAAAAAAGGGGAGGAGGAGGGGGGGGGGAGGGGGGAGGAAGAGGAAGAGAGGATCACTTGATATATGAGGTAGCGTCGAGGCTAGCACGACGTAGCTTCGGGCGTCGGGCCAGGCGCCGGGGGATCTGGCATTGCGATGGCCCGCAACCTCGCGACGGTGGTCCGATGGATGTCGAATCCGCGGGCCGCTCCGAACCTGTTCGCGCTGACCCCAGACGCATTGCGCCCCAGGGCGATAGACGACCCTCTCCACGGAGTCACCTTCTCGCACTTGATGTTTTTTTTTTCGTTGGGGGCAGGGTTTCGGCCACGAGCTGGTCAATCTGGGTCTCCATCTTGGCGATTTTCGACGAGAGACGGGCCCGCTTCCTGCTCTCCGCGACCAAGCACTGACGCACTGCCGCCGAGCTGCCGGCCGCAACGGCGACCAGCACCGTCGGCGCGGCCCGCGGCGTGGGCAATCCCAAGCGCCCGCAGATCAGCTGGTGGAGCCCTGCACGCTCGCGCTCCCAGGTGCCCTCCAGAAGCAGAACCCCCGCGGTAGCGAGGAGGGCTGGGATCACAGATCAGCGGAAGACGCGCTCGCCTCGCCAACGCCGGCACCCTCCTCCTCCAAACTCATTTTCCTTATCCGTATCCTCCGCCCTCTTCCTCAGGCCCCCTCTGCTCCTCCTCCTCCCCCTCCTCCTCCTCCTCCTCCTCCTCCTCCTCCTCCTCCTACCTTACTGTCGCTTTCTGGAGGTTTTCTGGACCTCGCTTCGGAAAGCTCCCCGGGACCTCCTTCGAATTCGGATGTGTTTTGCATTATATATAAAAACATCCGAGTGGCAAGAGGGCCGCGCGCCAGGCCCTCCTCCTCCTCCTCCTCCTCCTCCTCCTCTCCCCCTGCTTCGCCCGAGGCCGCGTCGACGCGCCAAGCGGCGCGGACGCGGCGGGAGCGGCCCAGCTGCGCCGCGACCTCCTGGGGCCGGGGGG